TTGATATCTATACTTTCTTAGTCCAAAAGAAGGCTGGCGTGCGCTAGATCGATACCTGTATTTCCTACTCACTCGAAACGCTGATTTAAAGTATGAAGACATCCTAACTGTACGGGTTCACGCTCAAAGCAGTCCATGAACTCAGATCTGGTTAGTTCCGACGCAACCGTTAGTTGGTACAGCTTATCCATTCGAAAAGCGTTGAACGTTCAGCGCTCATTCTTTTTTCTGATATCTTTGTTTCGGGGTTTGTGCAGCGGCTTTATATGCTTAGTCTCAGGTGCGGGCGTTGCAGTCGCAGCGTTCGCACCGAGACCCAATAGATTCCCGGTGGCTGTGCAATGCGAGTCAAGACAGCTAGGAAACAGTCTGCTAGTACATGCGCCACGCCGTGATTCGGAACAAACGCTAACACTCCTGCGTCTAGGACCCGTCAATGTTCCTATTCTGAATTAACGAAAATTAGCACGTTGAACCATTCGAGTCCTGGTGCGAATGCGGCGCACGTGACGCTAACAGCCGCCATCGTCATAAGACTCACGTAAAGTCCCACGCCTTAGGCATGATACGTGGTTATGTCGCTGCATTAGAGGTTAGGTATAAGGAGTACTATGAAAGCATTATGTTGACTGAATGAGAATCTTTTAGCCTGCCCCAGGCGACACGGGCAAGCCATGTGGAGTGGATTACGAGCTGAAGACCATAGTTGGAACTCCGGATTCAAATACGAGTGATCGCCAACGACGAAAGCCAGTTGTATTCAAAACATTTTGTAGAATCCATTCAAACTGAGTGTACTCGCTCGCTGCCACTATACTGCACACTTTTAGTAGCAGTGTACGACTGGCAATTCGAAAATTAACATATGCTCCATGGGAAGCAAGGCCTCAGCCGACAGCTGATGTTAGCAAAGATTTCATGATGAGCGCTGGTTTACTTCATATGGAAGCTTCGCTGGATAAGGAGGTTCGTGTATCTGACTTTATTTTCCTCACGTTTCCACCTTAGCTGCTCTTTTTATTCCCTTACACCTCCTTGATCCTCCATAGAAAGAGTACGTCTTATAAAAAATAGAAAGTTGTTTCAAAATTCATGCCCTTCAAGACCCTCAACTGGGATTTGTGAGAAGTGCTTCTAAGCTGTTGCTGAGGTAGCACGAGAATGCTGAGTCATGAGTGAAAGAGTTAACCCCACGTGAGATTGGGACCAGCTCCTCGCGCTTTCCGGGCGAGTGCGCTATTCGTTGTGCCCCCTCCCCCACCGGTCCTCATCCATTTTCAGCCTTGTTTTCCGTTGCTCGCATTCTCGGATCATAAATGAATGTGTACCATTTCAGATGTACTATCATGGTGAATCTATCGCGGTTAATGTGCATTTACAAAACAATAGTAATAAGTCGGTGAAGAAATTGAAGGTTCGTTTACTTGTACACAGGTTGTGATGTTTCATTGACTTTCTATGGAAGTTTTTGGTTTTCCTTCGCGCCTGATCCAGTAATTGTCAAATATTAGACAGTTTTAACTGATAGATGATTTTTGTAAGATGTTCCAATAAGGGTGGAGTATTTTGTTGCGCAACACTAGGACACACGCGTTTCTTATTGTAATTGTAGGTGCAGTAGCACTCACTTAATTGTCGTGGAAACTCTTTGAAATGGTAAGCTACCTCGGAGCTCTTTTCTCTACGCTTGAGCAAAATTCCTCGTCGTCCTGGATCACAATCTCCTAGCCTCATTGTCAGAGTTCCTTGTACAAAATTGTGGTTACCGGAATCGGCACGAAATGTTGCACCAAATACGCCACCTTACTTGAATAGCGTCTATTACTGCTGCTGTATAATTGATGGTGTTCATTTTATAGGTGAGTGTTGTTCAAATCGCAGACATTTGCCTTTTCACAACCGCCTCCTACACTTGTGAAGTGGCACGGGTTGAGAGCGCGTAAGTTTGGTTATACTTGTTACCGAATACGTTTTGTAGGTGCTTTTTTCCGTCTACTAAGCCTCAACAGTAGACCTCAGTATGTACTTTTAGTGAGGGATTTCCGGTTGGACCTGGCGCAACGCTTTCAAAAGTGTATTCGGTCTGTCCATTATTGCGTAACAATAAGGATAAACGAGGTTTAGCTTTGGATGGACAACTGAAACACGAAGATACAAATCTTGCCTCAAGTACGATGTGAGTGTAACAGTAGTAGTGCTCTGTACAAGGAAAACCTCGGCGATAATGTAATTGAGGAGAGAACACATGGTTTAGTGACGAAATCTGCTGCTGTGCCTCATAACAAAGTTGCGCGCGTTGTCTGCGCTTTTCTGACGCTGTGCCTACAGGCGGAAAGGAACCTTTCGTCGCTCTACCGTATGGACCCCTCAACTACATTGGCGCTCGGATTTCTTGCGGCTCTTTCTTTTTTTTTCCTCAATAAGTATGTTTATGTGGCTATTGCCGTTTGGACGCGCTCACTTGTGGCTGCGAGCTTATTTACGAAGTGCTTAGATCCCCAAACGTTGAAAGCTGTATACACAGGTAATTTAACATCCTGATTACGAATATAACACTCATTTTTGGCGCTGGCGCTCGAAGAGGACACTATGATTACCTTCTGGGCCCAGCCTTAGCAGAAGGCAGATAATCATGACGCATGTTAAATTACCTCCGTATACGAGTTTTCAGCTGATTTGGATGTATCATGTATCATTTTGAACCTACGCAAAGTTACAGAATGCAGCCATCAACGACAAAGGAAAGCCTTGGCATTGTTGTTGCCT